CAAAAATAAGCACATATTTGTAACAACAGCTCAAATAAAAATAAAGTATCTACATAAAATTCACAGTCTTTGCTTCCCCTTCTAATTCTACTCTTTTCATATAATCCATGTTAAATTTTTAGGTTATAAATTGCATATTTTCTTATTTGCTTGTATAAGTGTAAACATTACATATAATCAAAATCATAGCAAATAACACTTTTGTAGTGCTTAGGATATGTTAGGTATGTTTTTAAGAACTGGACATGTGTCACGCTGTACATATAACCCTGTGAGATAAGTGCAAGTATTAGCCCCATTTTATAGATTAGGAAACTGAAACACAAAAAGGTCAAATAATTTGCTAAAGGTCATACAGCTGGTAATGTGGCAGGCATAACATTCAAACACAGATCGCCTTAATTACTAAGCTATCCTGTTTCTTACACTTAGCTTTTCTGATTGGTATGTAAAGGAGGATTGTACCATACGTTTCTTTTAACTTTCTGTATACATAACAAAATATTATTGACCCCTTTCCAGTGCAATGGAGATAGATCTAAGATATTCTTGTGGATGGTGGCATGTTTTCCATCATGTGGATGTATCTTATTTTGTTTAACTACTCCCCTGTGATAAGCATGCATATTGTTCCCATTTTCTTGCTATTACAAACAACAAACAATAAACAGCCTTATACATAAATCTCTATGCACTAGCACTTTTATTTTTCTCAGAATTAGGCTTTTGGGGGTCAAAGACTCTGCACATTTTAAATCCTAATAAATACTATCCGTTTATCTTCCCCAAAGGTTGTGAAAATTTATAGCTGTACCGAGAGTGAATCAGGGCACGTGCTCTCTAAACCCATTCTATGACTTTTCTCATTACCTACTACTTTGACTAAAAGTAATTTTGTGAATATGTATCGTTTATAACAAATCTCTTATTTTTTATTTTTTGCTGTTATGTCCTATTTCTGAGAAAACCTTTATGGGCTAGTCATAAATTGATTATCTAAACACAAGTAAAATAGTTAATTGGTGGAATTATAAATGGCAGTTTGGAATTTTCCCCCTTTTCCTCATTTCAAGTGTGCAGTTTTTATTTTTCCCTGCCAACAGTGTTCATTTCTTATTATTCATTCTCTTCCATCTCTATCATGCTCCAGGGAGGACCAAAAGGGTATAGACCACCATCTGTCCTGGATAGTTGGCACCAGATGATCTCTCAAAGTCCCTTCCAGCTCAATGATTCTTTGAAAATATGAATTTAAAAAAAATCAAGTTATAAACACCAGGATGCTGGCTTGTGATTTTATAGGGCTTGTGCATGGATATGGATATCTATATCTATCTATCTATATCTATCTATCTATCTATCTATCTATCTATCTATCTATCTATCTATCTAAAATGTAGCCATGCTTTTAAAATAAGTGGAATGTGCCTGCATCTTGGGAAAATAAAATTTCTGGAAATATGTCAGCAACCAAAACTATCTGGAGGCTATATATTCAGGGCTGTTTTAGGTGACACAGGATGCCTGGGCCCTCTTCACTTTGTCAAATGACACTTTAAATGTAAACGTTTTAATCAAAACTATAACAACGTTGACAAATTTTTCATTGAGGTACCTATTCCTAAATGGACTTCACTAAAGCCAATACCAGTCCCTTAATCAATTTTCTACATTATGTAGTTACATCATATCTATTTTGTTTAATATTAATTTTGATTTAACTGAAAAAACTGAAATTGTTTGCATTGGATTCAATCTTTTCCATTTAAATTGAACAGACCTGATTCATCGGTTAGTTTTCTGTCTATATAAAATTGTACTAATTCCATCTTGGGTCATGTGTTTTGGATGGCCATTATTTCTGCAAAGTTCATTTTTTGGGTCTACTTTTACAGGTCTAAATTTTGTAATGAATATTTGGTTCTTTTGTCATTTTCATCCAATATTAATTTCACAATATACAGTTTTAGCCATTGTTAGTTTCGTATTAATATTTTTCAACCTTCAACCTTCTTGTTTAATATTAATTTGAATAAAAGATTGGTTTGCATTTATCTCCTAACTAATCCATGAACACTTTTGTGATAAAGAGAGAGAGAGAGAGAAAGCACAATCGAGAATGGAGACTGAGAAAGATGCAAGAACCCGCCTCAGTCCTGAGGAATCATAGTTGAGCTGTTGAATGCACAGAGGGGCCCAAACGTCCACAGGTATAAAAGGTGGACGCAAATGCCCTTGGGTTCAAAATGGCAGCATCAAACCCTTCTGTTTTATTGTTGCTGAAGTGAATGCACACCTCTAAGTCTCTAACTTCTCTCTTTGGAATCCTCTCTCCAGGGTTCTTTACCAGGATAGTCAAGTCCCATCATGTCTGTCTTCCACCTCCAAGAAGTCAGGAAGGCCGAAGTAGGCATATTAATTGGGATGAGCTTCAGGTCTTAGTGGCGGAAAATCCAACGCAACTAGATGGCACTTTTTTTTTCTCTCTTATAAGAAATCCAGAGGAAGGCAGTGAAGAGTGTTATGTGGGACCCTGAGAACTGGAGCTGTGGAAGGGGTGCTGCCACGCACAGCTAGAACCAGCCTGCCAACACTGAGAGACAGTGGGGAGAAATACCCTGACTTTTCTCTCTTCTCACTGCCTGGTCTGCTGTGTGTTCCACGGATGGGAATCTTGGTGTCAGTAGGCCAGGCAGCAAGGGACCTGGCAGAAGATGTTCATAGGGGTCAGCTTCTCGGGCGCAGAGAAGGGCAGGGAATGGATTTGGGTGGGTGTGTGCAAACAGAGACTATCCAGGAAGGAGGACATAAACCAGTTTCTATAATAATATTATTGTAATAGCCCCCATTGATCAAACAGCTATTATGCACCTAGCCCTCTGCTAAACATATTCCAGGCAGGATCCCATTCAGTCCTCATGACCATCTTGTGAGGTAGGCAAAATCGTCCTTATTTTAAGAAATGGGAAGCCAAGACAGAGAGATGTAAAGGACTTGCAGGAGTTTATACAGCAAGGGGTCGTGACAGGCTCGAAACCAGTGGGTCTGGCCCCGCCGTCATGCCCTCAACCACTCTGCGATTTCCTGGCTGTGTGAGCAGGACACAGGCCTTCCGGGCGGAGGTGTGCTGCTGGCGCACTCTGACGACCTGTCTCTTTCCTCCCATTTTCTCAAAGAAAGGAAGTGGGGGGCTGGCTGGGAGTGGAAAGATGTGTGCTTGGATCATGTACCAGTTCCAGTTTTCTACCTTCCATTCCCGTGCACTTCAAGAAGCTCTTATAGCTCCCTGCCTCAGCACTGGCTTAGCTGCTACTTTCTGAAAAACCTGAGCCATGGGCAGGTCCATCTCATTGGTCTGATTGGAGTTAGGGGAAGAAGTGGCTTGTCTCTTACCTGCCTCATAAGCCTACTTTCGGGCAGAGATCTCTGGATAAATCAGTTTCTCCATGGTTGGG